GTCCGTGCATTCGCAGCCTTCTGGGGCTTCTCCTTTGCTGAAGACAATCAATACAGACTAGATCCAGGTGAGACCGAGGATAAAGCGGGTATTCCATGCCTTGGGAATCGCTGCTGCCGGAGGATGGCGTTTGAAGCCGAGTCTGAAGTTGTGTATCTGAATGTCTGTGAGTTTCTGCACACCTTGGCTGCTGAACACTGAACTGGAATGGTGTTTCCCAGTTAGAAATGTGATCTTTGCTTCCACTGGAGTCCTGCGCTGACCCATTCTGGGGCACAGACCCCTTTAAACTGTCAAACAATGCACAAAGACTTGGATTTTTTTCCTCTGAGACTTTTTCACAGACAATTTTAATTTCCTTGGGTTAAATGTGGACCTGGAAACCTGCCCACACTTCCCTGGGGAGCGATGTGATGTGTATATATTTGTTTCTAAGTGGCTCTCTTGCATCAACAGGCTTCTCTTTTGCTGCGGAATGTGTATGGTTTAGTGGTCAACCTTGAATCCATTTCATGATTTTAAACTTCTGGAAACCCTTGGATACAGGCCTCCAAGTGGACTCTGTGAAGACCAGGTGCTCCCTCCACCAGGTCCTCGTGGCTGACAATTCCCCACATGCAACACGTCTGGTGCTGGCTGCAGTGTGAGCAGCCTGTTCCTCTGGCTGCTTTCCAGGCACCTTTCTTTCCCAGCCCCTTCTCCCAGGAGAGGCTGAGAAATGCTGCCCCGAGGCAGTTGTTGGGTAGCATTTTGGGGGTGCTGTAGGGGACAGAATGGAGAAGTCTGAGCTGTGCTGCACATCCCAGGATTGATCTCTGTGTTCGTGTGAGGTGGTTGTCCAACCTCCACCTCCCTGCAGGACGTGGGGGGACACCTCTGCTGTCTGGCTGTTGGTCTGCCTTTCCCCACCAGCCCTTGGCATCTGCAAGGTTTCTGGTTGTCTAAACAGCTCTTTGAGTTCTTTTAACATAGTTTTAGGTATTTTGTGTGCTACTCTCTCTGGTCAGTGAGATCCTCGAGGTAATTGGACTCTAGGTCAGGATTAACATTGTACAGTGACGGTGTGTGTTGTTATGAGGTCTCAAGAATATCCTCTGACAATGTGGAACTGGGATCTTGTTTTGAAACTCCACATGCAAATGTTCTGGAATTTAAGTTATTCTCGGGACAGTCCTACTGTGCCAGGAACTAACCTCAGAATTGCATTTTCTTCAGAAGATGTTCATAACCTCTGTCCTCTGCTATTTGCTCCAGTTACAGATCCTGCTTCAAAATTGAAGCCACAGTTGATTACTTGAAGTAATTTGGGACGGAATTGATCTGCACTGATGCCATCACAGGGTGGGCACCCAGTCTGTGGAGCGTGTAGGTTGGCTCTGTATCTGCGGGGAGAGAACACCTCTGGAGGGTGGCTCACCCCCCTGTCTCAGACACCTGCTGAAGGATGAAATCGCTCTCTCCCTCACCTGTGGCAGGTAGAGGGGTCACAGGGGGTTTGCCTAGACTGGATGTCTAAGTTTGGGGCTGCTGGAGTTGACTGAAATGAATTCATTTAGCTCCTCCTTAGCTGCACTGGAAAATTTTTGACTTAAAATGTTTCTGTATTTCAGATATATTACTTTTTTTTATGCAAAAGAGCAGGGCTTGGAAAAGATTTATAATTTGAAACAAACACTCCTGCTGGTCTGTAGTTGTGAATCCTTTGCACTTGTGTTTTAAATTAAAGTAGATCTTGATTTATTCATAAGGCTCTTGCGGTGCTGAGATGCTTCACAATGTGTCTGTAGTTCAGAGTGTGAACCTTAGAGTCTGGTCTCACTTCCCTGTTCTGTGGCTACATGGCTTTAAAGCAAGAGGAGACTGGGGCAGGAGCCTGGATCCTGAAATAAGCATTTCTTGGAGACAGGTATGACAGGTTTAACATTCAACACCATTTTTATACTGCAGCCTAAGTCTGACTAAACACGGTGAGGGAAGGCCCTGGAAAAATTGCATTCAAGTATCTTATAAAATTTTAAACCCTCATTACCATATTTGAGGCATGCAGAAAGCAATTCCTGCTACTTGTGTTTCTCTCTTTGCAGTTGGTGCACGGCACATCACCAGTTAACTGCTCCAGTACTTAGATGAGTGTGGAATCAAACACGAATCCTAAGATAAACTTAGATTAGTTGAAAGATTGAAACTCTGTCCCCAGGGCCGACAGCTCCTTCCCCAGGAACCAGACCAGGAGCATGAGGATCCAGAGCAGCTTTGGAATTTGCATTGCAGTAGTGTTCAGGTCAGCATTTCTCGTGTGCTAAGGGAGATCTGAGCATACAACAACGTGTGGCCTCTTTGGGGAGCCCGGAGCCTACTCGGTGGGTCATTATGCTTGGAGATGATATTTCCTCTGAATATCTTTCCTATTCTGCAAGGTTACACTTGTGTCTCGGGCTTTGCTGTTGTTTTGTGTCATGTTTCCCCTGAATCCTCCCCTTTTATTTTCCCTCCTGTCAGCTTTGCTCATGTTGAGCCTTTTCCATGCTGCCACAGCCCTGGCAATCAGCTTCCAGGAGGCCTTTGAAGATGGTGGGTGGGATTTATAGGAACAATTTGTTGAATCAAACGGGTACTCTGGGAGTGCTGTCACGTCCCAGTTGCACTGGTTTATGTACAGTGGTGCCTGTCCCCCTCAGACAGGCCTCTGCTGTCAGATGCAGCAGCTTATTATCCTGGGACAAATCTTTGTCTGGAGATAATTTTGGATCCTGCAGGTACAGTGTCCCTTGCTGGAGTTGGAGTCCTCCTCTGCTTAGGAATCCCCATTATCTAATTTTTTACTATTATAGTACAAAGGTTGGACTCCTAGAAATATTTTGGGCCAGAGTTTAGTGGTAGACAATGAGACCTAGAATGTGGCACTTCAAAAGTGAAAATGTGGAAAGAAGGTGAGATTGTGCCTAAATGTTCTGCTCCGTGTCAGACCAGGGTTAGTTACCATTGAATTTGGGTTCTGTAACCACCTCAGCAGTGACCTGTCTGACCCAACCACCACATCGCTGTGCTCAGCAGGTAAGCTAAACCACAGGCATGTGAAGGAGTTCTCCAGGATGTCTGAATTCCACAGGAAGAAGGAGTGCTGGAAGATGAGGTGGCCCCTCTCCTCTGGAGCCCGTGAGTAACTGAACCGGGGTGTGAGTGATTTGTTCTGCTGGGGGGGGGGTGCTCAGGGCTCGTGGTGTGCTCAGAAACCTCTGCAGTAACATTTGGTTAATGCCTTTATTCAGTTGTGTCTGTTTCCCATCTGCCCCACTTTGTGCAGACAGGGACGTGTCCGAGGTGCCACAGCACTTGTAGACCCAGAGGAAGGGAGGGGCTTCCCCTGGGGAAAGGGGTGATGCAGAGCATGGTCTGTGCTTCTGTGTGCACTCTGAAAAGTTCTTTTGGAAGTTGTTTTTTAGCACTAAGGTGAAATCTGTGTAAAACATTGCCCTTTTTCATGGAATCAGGCATCAATCCCTTGTGCCAGTGTTTGGTTCAGTTACAGGAGGGCTGCAGAGCAGAAGCTGTGATGGGGTGTAAGGGCACGAGTTGTTGTGGTGTGTTTTCTTCCTGAGGCTTAAACCTCAGAGGATATTAATGCCAAGGATCCCAAGTGCTGCATCTGTTTCCTTCCCTCTGTGCCAGCTGTGCTCTGCTTGCTTTTTGGAATGCCCACACCTTAAAAAGCCTCCTCCAAACCCTGGAGCCCTGGCAGTGTGTGTGGAGAGAGGGACACCCTGTGCCCACCTTTTGGTCTGATCTGGGTGTCTGGGTTCCCTCCAGGGAGAGGAGGGATGAATTTTCCTTGAAAATAACTTTGAAAAGGCTTTTCTGGAGGGGTTTGTGTGGCAGAAGCGGGGGTAGGAAAGCAGGGCCGATGCCCCCGCACTCCAGGTGGAACTGCCAGCGCTGCACCTGGGTTAAGGTAAGAGCTCCAACTGCTCCTGCCTGCAGCCGGACTTGGGATGTTTGGGATCTGCCTTGGGAGGGCCTCAAACACCACAGGGACACACATGGACACACAGAGACAGACAAACAACGGACACGCCCAGGGACACACCCACGGACTCAAGTGGATGGACAGAGGGCACAGGCACACTGATACACAGGGACACAGAGAGACACGGACACACGGGACAACAGGGATGGACACAGACACAGAGTAAGGGACATGGACAGACCCTGGGACAGACACCTAGACAGATACACAGACAGGGACACGCACTGACGGACAGAGGCACGAACACATGGACACACACTGACGGACACACACACTGACACACAGACAGACACCGGACAAGCACATGGACATGTGAACACATGGACATGCACACATACAGATACTGACACGCACACACTGACACGGACATGCACACACATGGATGGACATGCACGCACACGGACGCACACACACGGACACGCACAAACTGATGCACACGGACACGCACACTGATGGAAACAGACATGGACACACACTGACACGCATGGATATGGACACACACGGGCACAGACATGCACTGACACACACACTGACAGAACACACACACACACAGACGGACATGCACATGGACACGCACACACACTGACGGACACGCACGCACGTGAAAACGCACAAACACTGACGGACATACATGCCCACACACTGATGGACACGCACACACACTGACGGACACACGGACACACACACATACAGACATGCACACAGACACAGACAGATGGACACACGCACATCCAGACACAGACATGCACACATACAGACATGGACAGACACGCACACAGATGGACACACGCACACAGATGGACACGTACACATGGACATGCACATGGACGGACACACACACACATATGGACACACGGACAGACACGGACACTGACACACACCCACACAAGGACATGGACAGACACGGATGCACAGAGACACGCGGGGCTCCCACCCCACTGACTGTGACTCAGTTACAAGTGATCTCATTTCTTAGGAAATGCACTGGTTTATTTTTTCAGAAAATAAATAAGTCAGAAATGTGCAGGCCATCCCTGCAGTCCTCTGGTCACTGCAGGGCAGCTGGGGGCTCTTGGAGAAGGCCCGGCTTGGAACATCCCGTCTCATACCTGCTTGGGCTCGGCTCTGGTGGTTTTCATAGCAGCACTGTTTGTTTTTGCAGTGTCAGGTGTGACTGCTCCTGCAGCACCCCCTCTGCTGTGGGTCTGTGTGACTGAGCCCAGTTCCCACCCCATCCTCACTAAACTGTAAACCCTGCTGTGAATGCCAGGCAAATATTCCTGTAGCTACTGCTCTGATGCCAACCCAGAGCTGGTCTGCAGGCACTGGCCCTTTCCCACTGCTGAAACAGCTTGGAGCTCAGGCTGGGGGGACACAGGGAGGGCAGCACTCTGGAGGGTGAGCTCTCCAGACTACTTCCAAATAGTGGGAATAAAACAGTAAGTGCTTTGCCAAAGGATTTCAGGAGCTCCCTGCAGTGGAAAGGGAGGGATAGCAGTACTTGGGGAAGCTGGTCTTGAACTTCGCCATTTACTTCCACAGCTCTTCCTGCAATGAACAGTAAGGAAGGGACTTGTCTCAGAACACACTCTCCTCAATCTCCACATCCGTTCCAGCTCCTGGGAGCTCAGGCATGGCCAGTGTAAGCCTGGACACCTCTGCCACTGCGATGTTCGCTTCCAGGGGGTCTGGAGAGCTTTGTTGTCCCTCAGGAACGCTCCGACCTGCTTGCCCAGTCTGTGGCTCTGCAGGAAAGGTGGCTTTGGTGTAGTTCTTCACCATCTCCTGCACCTCCGTGTTCAGAGCTCTCACCTTCTCCTCGTACTCCGCCAGTGCCTGCTGCTGGAGCTGTGGACAGGGACTCGCGTCATTCCCACACCTGCGGCTCTGGGACGAGCCGTGGCTGCTCTGGGGGGCTGTGCGGGCCCCTCATGCACTTGCTCAACCCCTGGGGTGTGTGTGTTGGGATGGGGGGCTGAGGGTGGAATAAAGGTGGATCCCTGGGGGTTGGACTTGCTGTGCCATGGAACAGCCTTGTGAGGCACTACCTGGCTCTCCATCTCCTTGATGGATCGCAGACGCTCCGCCTGCTTCTCCTCCAGTGTCTGCTGGAGCCGCCGCGTCTTCTCCGTCACCTTTGAAACAACAGAGTGACCCCCTCAGGGTCCAGGCCCAGCCCAGAGCCAGGACACCGGCACAGCTGAGTGCGGACACCGGGACACACGAACAGACAGGGAGACACTGACGGATGGACACACAGACACGTGGACAAACAGATGGACACATGGACAGGCAAACGGACAGACAGACAGATAGATGGGATATGTGCACAGGACAGAGTAACATAGTTGGGATACATGGAAAGATGGACACATGGACAGATCAACGGACAAACAGATGCAGGGACAGATGCTGGACAGACGGACAGAAACAGGGACAGAGAGACAGACATATGGACAGACAGATGAAGAGACGGATGGACACATGGACAGATGGACACAGGGACAGAGGCACAGGGATGGACAGATGGACATTGGACAGATGGATGCAAGGACAGATGGAGAGAGACACACAGAGAGATGGACATTGGACAGACAGACACAGGAAAGGATTACATGGACTCGATTTCTGGACACAGGGACAGAGGCACAGGGATGGACAGATGGACATTGGACAGATGGATGCAAGGACAGATGGAGAGAGACACACAGAGAGATGGACATTGGACAGACAGACACAGGGATGGACACATGGACTGATGGATAGAGAGACACAGGGACAGACAGAAACATGGACAGATGGATGGACAAGTGGAGAGAGAGATGGACACAGAGACAGACACATGGACAAACAGACAAATGGACTGACAGACACAGAGGGATGGATGGAAACATGGACACACAGACATGGACAGACAGACATACAGATGGATGGACACAGGGACAGACAGACAAAGGGATTGACAGGCACAGGGATGGACAGACATACAGACTGATAGACAGATGGACACAGGGACAGACAGACACATGGACAGATATAAAGACACAGGGATGGACAGATGGAGAAACAGAAAGACAGACACATGGACTGATGGATAGAGACGGACACTGGGACAGACAGATGGACAAGTGGACTGAGAGATGGACATGGGGACAGATGGACACAGATGGGCAAACAGACAAATGGATTGACAGACTGACAGACAAATGGACAAACAGATAGAAACACAGATAAGCTCGGGATGGACAGACAGACAGATGGATGGACACAGGGACAGACAGACAAAGGGACTGACAGACACACGGACTGATGGACAGACGTACACAGGGACAGATGGACATATGGACATACAAAGGGATGAACAGATGGCCAGACAGACACAGGGACGGACAGATGTATGGACTGATGGACACTGAGACAGACAGAAACATGGACAGACAGGAATAGACAAGTGGACAGAGAGACGGACACACAGAGAGATGGACATTGGACAGAGAGATGGACAAATGGACAGACGGATGCAAGAACAGATGGATGGACGGACACATGGACTGATGGATAGAGAGATGGACACAGGGAGAGACAGACATGTGGACAGACGGACAAAGGGACAGAGAGATGGACAAACAGACAGAAACACGGACAGACAGACAGATGGACGCAAGGACAGATGGACTGACATACGAACAGAGAGAGGTGGATGGACAGACAGACAAAGGCATTGACAGACAGACACAGGGACTGATGGACAAACAAATGGACAAATACATGAGCAGATGGACACCAGGACAGATGGATGGACATACGGACAGACAAACAGACACACAGAAACATGGACAGACAGACAAATGGACACACAGAGAGATGGACACTGGGACAGACAGACGGATGCAAGGACAGATGGACTTACAAAGGGATGAACAGATGGACAGACAAATGGATTGACAGACACACAGAGATAGATGGACACGGGGACAGACAGACGGAGAAACAGACGGACACAGGGACAGACAGACAGAAACATGGACAGACAGAAATGGACAGACAGATGGACAAGTGGACAGAGAGACACACAGAGAGATGGACATTGGACAGACTGACAAATGGACAGACAGAAACATGGACAGATGGACAGACAGATAAATGGATTAACAGACACAGGGACAGACAGACACACAGACTGAAGGACAGAGAGACAGACAGGGACAGACAGATGGACATAAGGAAGGACAGACAAATGGACAGATGGACATGTGGACAGATGGACACAGGGACAGACAGATGGACACAGGGACAGAGAGACAGACAAACAGACAGAAATGTGGACAGACAAACACATGGACAGATGGATGGACATACAGACAGACACAGGGATGGACAGACAAAAGGACAGACAGACACACATGGACAGACAGACAAATGGACACACAGACAGATGGACTCAGGGATGGACAGATGGACACACAGACAGACAGATGGACATGTGAATGGACACACAGACAGACAGACAGATGGATGCAAGGACAGACGGACAGACATACAAACGGACAGACAGATGAACACACAGAGACAGACACAGGGACAGACAGACAAATGGACAGACAGATGGATGCAAGGACAGATGGACATACAAAGGATGAACAGATGGACAGACAGACACAGGGACGGACAGAGAAACAGAAAGACAAACAGACATAGGGACTGATGGACAGAGTGATAGACGCTGGGACAGATGGACACTGGGACAGACAGACAAAGGGACTGACAGACGGACAAATGGACAGACAGGTGGACAGAGAGAGATGGACACCAGGACAGACAGACACACAGAGAGATGGACACCAGGACAGACAGACACAGGTACAGAGAGATGGACAAATGGACAGACAGATGGACACAGGGACAGACAGACAAACGTACAGACAGAAACACGGACAGACAGACACATGGACAGACGGATGCAAGGACAGACGGATGGGCAGACAGACAAATGGACTGACAGACGGACACAGGGACAGACAGACTGAAAGACTGACAGAGACACAGATGGACAGAAATAAATACATGGGCAGACAGACACACACAGGGATGGACAGACAGACGGTCAGACAGACGGATGCAAGGACAGATGGACATACAGACAGACAGATGAACAGACAGACAGACACAGGGGCAGGTGGACAGACAAATGGATAGACAGACAGAGGGACACACAGAGAGATGGACAGACAGACAGACAAACAAATGAAGAGACAGACGGACACAGGGCCAGACAGACGGATACAGAACTGACAGATGGAGAAAAGGAGAGAGAGACACACAGACTGGACAGAGAGACAGACAGACCAATGGACAGACAGATAGAAGACACAAGGACAGACAGATGGACAAAGAGACAGAGAAACAAACGGATGAATGGACAGATGGACAGACGGACACAAGGACAGATGGACAGAATGATGGAGATACGGACAGACAGATGGACACACGGGCAGACAGACCTACAGATGGACAGAATGACAGAGACATAGACAGATGGTCTGACAGTTTGACAAATGGACAGACAAATGTGCAGACAGATGGCCACAGAAGACAGAAGGACAAACGGACAGACTCACAGATGGGCACATGGACAGACAGACACTTGGCACAAAACAGATGGGACACACAGACAAATGGACTGACAGACACAGACAAACCGATACACGGATACACGGACAGATACACGGACACAGGGACAGACAGACACACACACACAGAGACAGATGGACAAATGGACAGGCAGATGGACACACAGACAGACATACACACAGACAGACGGAGACATGGCCAGCCATGGAAAAACAGATGGACACATGGACAGATGGACGGACACAGGGACAGACAAAAGGATGGACACAGGGACAGATAGCTGGGCAAACAGACAGATGGACAGAGGAATAGACCAACAGACACAGGGTCAGACAGATGGATGGACTCACAGAGGAGAGACAGACAGATTCACAGACTGATGAACAGGGAGATGGACACAGGGACAGACAGACGAACAGACAGACAGATGGACAGAGTCAGACAGAGAGGCACACAGATATACAGGCACAGACAGACACAGGGACTCACCGACAGAGACATGGACACACAGACACGTGGATGGATACACAGATGGACACAGAGACACATGGACACAGACACACAGGGACACACACACAGACAGACACACAGACACGGACTTAGCTTTGGGTCTCTGAAGGGCAGCTCCGACATGCTCGGGGTGTCTGTGCTCCTGCCAGGCTTTCCCATCATTCCCAACCCTCACCCTCCCAGAGAGCCCCTGTGGAGCTCACCCGTTTGATGGTCTGCACCACCTCCTGGATGTGGGAGTTGTTGATTTCTTTCTTCGACCTTTGGAAGAACCACAGACACCTGTAACCCAGCTGTTGTGTTCCCATCATCCCCCTCACTAGAGATCCGTGCCACACCAACCCACACGTGTGCTACATCCCCACCGTGTGCTGACACAGGGAGAACCTGCTGTAATTTAGGAAAGACAAATAAAACACCATTCCAGTGTGTGTGAGACGTAAGGAGAAGAGCTGGATGCACAATTCTACTCCTTCGGCTGCCCAGGCAGCAGCAGGCCCTGCATCCCGCACGGACGGGGCCCGGGAGCACCCACACCTCTCCTGGGCAGCCTTGTCGCTCGTGTTCCGCAGCAGGGCCTGGATCCGCTCCACCCTCCTCGCCTCCAGCCGCTTCTTGATGTCCTTGATGTTGCTGTGGAGAGAGAGGACAGACAGGCCTGGGCACCAGCACAGGAGCAGCCTCCAGCCCATCCCTCTGGAGCGCTCTGCTGGGCAGAAGTGCATCTGGGAGGGGTTGGACAGCAGAAGGCCTGAAGGCTTAAGAATATTTTAAGTCCTATTTAAGCTTTTTTTGTTTGTGTGGTTTTTTTAAGGGGTTACTAACAAAGATTCCTCCCGAAGTCAGGACGCGTCAACAGTGGAAGCAGCAGATGCTGAAGGGAAGTGTAAAAAAGAACAAGTGTACAGGAGTTTTTCCCTCCTCCACCTTCCTGATTTCCAGTCTATCCTCCAGCCTCCATGCATTTCTCTCCCATGATGTCACTCACACCTGGGAGTTCACCCCTACTTCTGGATTCCACTGCAGGTGGAACACTGGTGTCCTGCTCGGCGCTCACCTCTCGGCCGTGTCCCGCAGCGCCCGCAGCTCGGCTCCCTGCTTCTCCCTGGCCAGCTCCAGGATCCGGGCTACCTGCTGCTCAGGGGATGAAAGCAACATCAAAAGGGAGCAATCCCAAATCCCTGGCATACGTGGGTTAGAGTCCAGGAGCTCTGATACCTCCTAATCCCCTCAGCAGCCCTTGGGCAGAGCTGCTGTTACTGAAAGGCTCAGCACGTTTAAATACCCCACCTTCACTGGCTGCCCTGAAGAGTTAAAGAGTTTCCCAGATGAAGCAGCTGTGGCAGAGACAGAAAATGTGCTTTTGCCTTTTCAGGGCTTCAGTCTACATTTTGAGCAAATAAAAACATATCATTTTTAAACTTAATTACCCTGTATTTAGATGGTCTCTGGGAAAATCCTAAACTTGTTTTTGACATGAAGTAAAAAATTCTGGCAAACTAAAACGTTGTTTATATATCAGCTCTGTGAAAGATGCTCAATGTATTCACTCCTAAAGGCTCACTGAATCCACCAGGTGAGATGGGAATTAGTACTATATGGAAAACTTTCAAACACAGGTTTTCTTCAAAAAACCTCTCAAAACCCCCCAAATTACATTAACAAAGAAAAATTATAAATTATTTTCTGCTGTGCATTCAACCTTGAAAGCATCAACTCTCCTTCCATAGGAGGAGTCCCTTTTTCCACCAGTTTAGTTCTGGGGTTCATCAGTGTAGGTTTTCTAGAGGAGTTCCTTTAGGAAGGATTGCAAGAAACATCAAGGGAGGTAATTAATTTTTAAAAAAGAATGAGGTGAAATAGTATGTGGCTGACTTTTTTCTCTTCTGATTATTTAAATTTTCATTTTTAATTGTATTCCTTAAAATGTCCTCAGAGAGAGACTGAATCTTGTTTATTTATTTCAAAACCATTCTCCCAGGGAAGTCCAGGAAAAAACCAAACCAGCAACACGGGCCTCCTCTTGGAGAATTACCCAGATTGATTTTTTTCTGGAGTAGCCCAATTGACTTCCTGTCCTACTCCTACACTGCCTGTGGTTTTCCAGGGAGGGGCTGCCCTAGGATCGTTTGCTGGTGGCCCTGCAGCCTCACCTCCGTGGCGTGCTGCTCCTTCTTCCTCCGGATGCCCTCGTGGTGCTCCTGCCCGAGGTGCACGAGGTCCACCTCCAGCCTCTCCCTCAGCTCCAGGAGCCGGCGATCCACACTCTCTGCCACTTCCACGGGACTTGCACAGGTGCCAAGGGCACCCTGGGTCTCCATCCTGCACAACACATTCAGGGCTGTGCTGCTTCTGGGCCTGCCAATACAATCCCAGCCTCCACCCACTCTCACGGGAACAGCCCAGGGACATATGGATGCTGCATCTTCCTTTAGAGAAGGGCGCCTGTGTTTCTCTTGGGGATCCCTGTTTTGGTTTGGGGAGGTGACCCCTGGGCTGTATTTACCTTTTCTTCTGGGTTTTCCTCATGTGGATCATGCTTTTCTTGCCCCTGTGGCAGACGGACTCCGAGAAGAGCACAGAGTATTTCTGCAACAGCTCCTCCTTCCGTTTGCTTCCCCTCTGCTCCAGCTCCCTCAGCTCCTTCTCCTGCCTCTTCAGCAGCTTCAGGAAGCGCTTCATCTGCTGCAGCTCAGCCAGGGTGGCTGTCTCAGGCTCTGAAACACAAACCAGAGAATGTTTGCTGTCCCACAGCATTTCTCCACCTGCTGCCAAACCCTCTGGGGTCACACGGGGGTTTCAGCACTGCCTTCCTTCCTTTTCCTCCCTCTTTTCCTGTCCCTGACGGATGGGGGCATAGGGATGGCCAAAATTGCTCTCAAGCCACGGAGAATTATCTGCTCAGAGGAAGTATCTTTTTCGGAACCATCACACCTGGGCAGAGCAGGTTTCCTCTTGTGCCTTCAGATCAGTTTTGTGGCGTAATTAGGCCCCGTGTCTGCAGGGATTTGTATCACAGTGCAGTCAGACACAGGTGCCCGACAATCGAACAGAAGGTGCAGGTGTGCTGAAGGGAACCCTGAGCCTCAAGATTCCTGGGATCTGTCTTTAGTGCTGGCTACACCAGGCAGGGCTGGGACAGGTCCTTCTAATTTGGGAATATAAGCTGACTGACAGGGCCTCAGCCCAGGTGAATAGCACAGGGATTTACCTGCCATCTGCATCACTTCTAACACGGTTTCTCCCCTGGCGAACGCCGCTGCTCCTGAAATCCCAAAGGAGGTTCCTGTTAAAGTCCCATCTTGAATGTTCCGAGGTTGGAAAGGGACAGTGGAGAGCTCACCAGAGCACAGGCCATGTGAAGGATTTTAATGTGAGGAGTTAATTAAGCTGCCAAGGTGTTAAAGTACTTGGAAGCTCTTGGACACTTACCCGTGGAGCCATTGGAGGGAGGAATGCCGTGTTTCCCAGCAGAGTCTGGCACCCCATTAGTCTCAGCAGATGGGACGTTCCTCTGTGTGCCAGGCCTCTAAAACAGAGATCAGAGGTAAATGAAGGCTTTTTATTCCAGGCTGAATCCATGCAAGGTGCTCTAGAGAACAGACCCTGGAAGAACTCACCTCTCCCGTGGTATCCTTGAGCTTCACGGAGCGCTTGTCCTGCATGTTGAAGAACTTGATGGGGTTGGAGAGGGCAATGGTGAGATCTGCAAACAGAGAGAGGGCTTGGCTTGGGCAGCAAACAACTCATGGACTCATTTTCCCTGCCCAGGACAGGACACTGTGGAGAAGGGCCAGTCTGTGTTCTCTGCTTGTCACAAAGGGAGGGGACCACCTTCACCTCACAGTCCCATGCTGAGGCCATGGCCCACGACTCCGTTCCCAAAATCCAAAGCCAGGTTCAGACTTTCCTCACCTGCACAGCTCCCTGTTCCAATTCCAGTCCAGTGCTGTATAAACTCGTGTTTTTATAAGAATGTGTTAAACCCATCAGTTTCTGAGGATGTCCCCACTGAAAAGGGTTCATTTGTACAAACACTGGAGGAGGGAACACACGTGAGAAGCGTTCACAGGAAGTTGTGTGGCTGATGCTGTTACTTTCTGTGTGGTTTTGGTCACGAATGTTGATCCCTCCAGTAGGGCTTCTGTCCTCGTGCAGCTCTGTCTGATCCTTTTCCAAGGAAGGTCTCTGTACCTCAGTGCCAGCAAGAACCTCCCTTCTCTTCCAACGGGGAAGAACACCATTCCCATGCTCCCTACAACCCCTGTTCTTGTCAGCCCCTGAGAGTTGTCACCTCTTCCCTCAAGGAAACCTCTCCCTGGCTCTGCTGGGTAGGACTGACCCCCTCAGGTGGGACCCAGGCACAGCTGCAGTGGGAACATCCATGCTCTCCCCAGGGCAGCGGGGCTGGGGCGGGGCCCTGGCACGTGCTCAATCCCCCCCTGCCAGGAATGAAGGGTGCAGCAGGAAAGCACTCCCTGGGCTGGGAAAACGCTTCTGGATCAGAGTTTGGACACAGGCAGAGCCCCCGCCCCGCACATTCCAGCATGTCCTCACCTGCCCAAGCGTCCGGCACGTAGTCCTTGAGCTCCAGGAACACAAAGAGGGAGGGCATGGTGAGGGGCATGTTGCTCTCGCTGCGCAGGCACACGTGGTGGTACCCTGGGACAGAGCAGAGCACTGAGCTGGGCTGGCACACTCCTGGCCCTCCAGCTGCCAAACAACGTCCATCTTTCTAGGAGGGCAGGATATCCTGGCACCGAGCCAAGGCCCTAACAGGATGACTCCACTGCCTGCAGGAGTGGACATTAAGGAGCCAAACATGCAGCTGTTTGTACGTTCTTTACGGATGCCAAGGGCACAAAAGCCAAAGGGATTCTCACAGATTTACCTGAGTGCATCGCAATGACAGGAATGATACGATGGCCAATGAACTTCCCTCCTTCTTCCCAAGCCACAATTTTCAGAGAGGCCAACTCAGGCATCATGATCTGAGAGAAAAGAAGAGTAAGGCACCAGTGGCCTCACCTTTAACTCCTGACAGCATCCTCCTCCTCCTCCAAGGAGAGCTTTACTCCCTTCTCCTTCCAAGCACACAATTCCAGCTCCCCCTTGTCTGTTCTGGGAAATACTGACGGGAGTTGTTTTGGATATTGTTGTTTGGGTGTTATTTGAGCATGCCCAAAGCCAGGCCGGGGGTCTGCAGAGGGGAGTCCCTTCTGCAGTCACTGACCTCTCCCAGGGCAGTGCTTGTGGTCTAAGGGAGGTTTTCTGTCTAAATTACTCTCAGATGTTCTCACCTTTTCAAAAACAAAAGCCTCTTCTTTCCACAGGGGGTTAATGGAGTTGGCCGTGGAGGTCAGTTTGGTTCTGTATTTGCGTTTGGTGTCCCTTGGCAACCCAAAGAGCTCCACTTCCACGTAGGTTTTCACGCTGCGCTCCGAGAGGAACTGACCAGAGAGTATCTGTCATCACCAGAGACAGAGTCAGCAACTGCTGAAGAGAATAAAGCACAAGGACCCGCCCGTTCCTTCACCCCAAAGTCTGTTTTTCCGCTCCAGCTTTTCTTTCACCTCCACCCCTGTTTCTTGCTTCAGCACTTCCTCCCTCCCCACCATCTCAGCCTTGGCTGCTTCTGCGTGGCAGATGCTCCTGTTCCACTTTCACGTGATTATGGTTAATTTCAAACAGAAACCAGCCGGGGGTTGCCACGGCAGCGCTGTCCCAGGCCCTGCCCGGGTTCCCGTGCCCCGCCCCCGAGCCCCCTGGGTGGCACAGAGGGCTGTACTCGCCGTGACCGACAGGGTGCTGGCCACAACCACGTCCATGCGGTCCAGGGAGAAGGGGTCGAAGTGCTTGTCGGGGCGGCGCAGGAACTCGTGCTTGAGCAGGTACCCGCTCTGCCCGTTGAACTCGAACAGGGCCATGTTCTGCTGCATGGGCACATCTGTGGGCACAGCCACACCCTGAGGCACAGGGCTGGGACAGGGACCCCCGTGGCACCGGGGAGCCCCCAGCCCCTGCCAGCCACAGCTCACGAAGCCACCTCACAAACCAGGGAGGCCTCCCAGCACCCTACAGGGAAAGACGTGAGGGCAGCTGCTGCACAGAAGGGAAGTGGTTTGCTTACGCTTGCACTGCAAGGCACGGGCAGAACTACATTCAAACCTGCTTTAAGGAGCACTCGCTGCTTTTGGGCATGGATAAGTAGCTGCCTGAGCCCCTCTACTCCTTCCCCCTTTCATTTTGGGCCTCTTCTGAGTCCATCTTCTCTCTGACACTTGTCCTGAGGACACTGTCTGGTGGTTCCTGCACCAGCCTGCACTGTGCCATCCCCCCTGGAACCAGCTTCTCACTCACACCCTTTCCAAGTCACTTCCTTTTTATCTCCTACGCTCTCTATACGTAACACACTCCTCCAAGGAAGGAAGGGGGCAAGGAATAGCTTTGTCTCCAGGCTTTTTTTTCCTTCTCATGCTGGCTGTGCAGCAAGGAAAGGCCCTTGCTCCCTGTTCAGGTCAAAATCCTGGAAACAATGGCACAGCCAGGGCACTGCTGTGGCCAGATGGAGCTCTGCCTTGTAAAGGGGCAGCAACTCAGGGACAGGGCTGCAGGTGTGTTCAGGGATGTGATTCAGTGGCACATCATGGAATGGGACACCAGGACAGTGCCTGGACACAGGTGACAGCACTCCTTGGGGGTGTGTGTGTGTGCTGGACACAGAAAAGTGCTGTTGGGGGCGATGGACCCAGTGGAAAACAGCACCTGGGAGAAGGCACTTGGAATAAATAACACATCAGGGAAACAGCAGTGAAGGAAGAGACAGTGACCAGGAGCACCCCAGGGACCAGGAGCAGCCATGCTCACCCAGCAGGAGGCTGGAGGACCCTCGACACTCACCCATGGTCTGGAAGTTCAGTGCCACCATCTGACAGCCGACGTTCCAGAACATTTGGGGCAGGTAGTTGGACGAGTCCATCCGGGTGCCTTTGGGGTAAATCCGGCTCATCTGCCGCTTGTTGTATCTGTAGGGGCTCCATAGGAAACAAGTCTGGAGTGTTCCTGCTGTGCCCTGGCACCAGCTCACATGTTCCCATCGTGAAAACTGTTTAACCTCTGCTACCAGACACTCAGCCCTCCAGACAAAAGCTCAGACAGGCCCAGGCTCCTTTTCCATACCCTTCCCACTTAAGGACAAGCCTCTGGCAGCCTTGATGTTGACTACAGCAGGATGCATCCTGTCAGGAATCTCTCTGGAGAGCTCCCAAGCCACCTGGAAGATCCCATGTCTCCAGCACCTGCACACTTTCTAGCTCTGATGAAGAGGGATGAAGGTGCTGGAAGCAGGAGCCCTTTGGATATGCCTAAGCCCAAGCTCCAGCTCCGCTCTGACACCCCAAGCCCCCAACTCCCCAGGACAAGGGCTGCCAAAAGGATACTCTACAAACTGCACGGGGAACTTGCTCAGGAGGTCGTAGGCTTTCAGCTCCGTGAAGGAGGAGATGACGTAGCTCCGGTTCTTCTCTGGAAGCGGGAGATGATAAAGCCTTAGAGGAGAGGCACACCCAGCCCCTGTCCTGCCGTGGGCACCGACGGGGAATACTCAGCCTGGACTGCCAAGGGACTTACGGGCAGAGACCTCGAAGGATTGGAATTTGATGGGCTGGATGTAGTTGACCAGGCTGGACATCTCCTCGTACGCCGTCACCTCCAGGCCGGCCGTGCCCTGCGCAGGAACAGCCCAGGGGAGACACGTGAAGAGACCTTCCCTCGGGAGGAAACAAACCCCACCAGGGCTTCCCAGGGGAGGGCTCTGGGGCTGCCCTGACCAGAGCGCTCCGGTTTGGCTTCCCAGTCCCACAGCTCTGTGGTGGGCAGGGCATGGAGATTCCAGGCAGCTGGGCAAGAACTGAACCGGGGCACGTGAGAGGCTCCAGTCAGGATGGACAAAGCCCAGGACCTCTTTAACCCCAGAGCATGGAGCCTGGGACAAACTGGGGACACCATCTTCCCTCCTCTCCAAGGGATACCAGGGAGATAGAAATGGGAAATGGATGTTTTCATTCACAGGAATGATGATCTCCTCCCTCCCCCTTCAGCAGCAGCACTTTTTTTAGTAACAACTTCTATCAGACCAAGGCTAAGCCTCTCCAACAGCCCAGAGGCAAACAGTTATCTCCAAATCACGTGGAGTATCAAAGGCAGAGTCAGCAATAATAGCTCCTCTGCCACAGTCTCTGTGCTTGCAACAGAATTTCTCTTATTCAGTTTCTCCTGCAAAAGTCCTGCAATAGGGGAAGGAAAGCCCCTGACAGGTTCACTCCCCTTTGCATTTTGGGTTCATCTCCTCTCAACAGGGGGAGGCCCAGAGAAAACTGGAAGCCAAACAGAAAAGGAAGAGAACCAGCAGTGACAGTACCTCATCTGACTGCATCTTTTTAATTTCCTCTTCATCCAGGTTTCCAAGCTGTTCATCCTCCTCCTCTGGCTCCTCTTCAGCCACATCACCTGCCCAGACTAAGCACAAAGGCCACATCAGTGGTACCTCAGCAGGACACTGAGACAGCTGCAGAACCTCACAGCCAAGCCAGCAGCAGCAGTGAGGGGAAGAATCCCACATCTTTACTGGCCAAATCCAAATATGAACTGGCACACTGCGGACCGGCACAGCCAAGAGACCAAACTGCTGCTCTTGCAGACTCCCCTCACACCCAGGAGTGACAGTCAAAGGGTTGTTTTCCCCCCAAGTTCACATGTATTTTTAGGATAAATGTCCATTTCCAGGTGTCCCCTTTGTCCTCACAGGACTTCACGTGTTCACATCATGACAAGGACTGTTCCCCCCCAGGGGCATTGAGCCCAAGGGGTGACAGGAAGAGAGGAGAGAGGGGCTGAAGGTTCCATAAACCTCCAAGACCCTCAGGATGGAGAAACGTGAGCTGTGGTTAATTTGTGGTCATCACAGATCTACAGGCAGTAACCCATTACCCCCTTCCCCCAACCCAACAGCCAGTGGGTATCAGTGAATCACCAAGGGGTGACAAGCAGGGTGTAGTAAGACATGGTCTCTTTTGGCTGCAATAGTGTTGAAAATATTCTGAGGATTTAATTTCTCTTCCAAGCTTATGCTGCTTCTTAACTGAATTAGGAGCAGTGCTGGCTTGCCCCAACCTGGTATTGGGAGATCTGGGAGGTTTTGCCCTTCTAGCTCTGCTAGGCCCACTTCCCTTCAGACATACCAGTGTCTTCAGCATCCACAGGGGTCGGCTGCTCGATGATTTCTGGTTCCACATTCCTCCCTTTCTTCAAAGAGTTCTGCCTCTTCTCACATACAGATTGGTTCTTTTTATTCTTAATCAAGATTTTCCCTAAGAGGTCCATAGGACTCGGCAGAGGAACTCCTGGCTTCAGCTGCAACAGATAAACCTCATCACAGGGAGAATTCAAACACTGCCCTCTCCTGTCCCTCTGGCCAATTCCTGCTGCAGACACATCTCTCCCCCACTGAACACTTCCTTTCCTCTCTCTGCCAACATATCTCACCAGATTCCTGCAGATTTTCCCCAAGATTTCACCTGTGGTTGCAGAGCAGCTGCAGCACCACTGTGTCACTGTGCCAACAGAAATACCTGCTGTACAGGTCAGCTGATGACTGGGGTCAAGCAGATGGGGAGCTCTACTGAGCTATTCCTGGCACTGCCCTGCCCACCTATGCCTGGAAGGGAATCTTTCCAGGCCCTTGTTCCTGTTTCCAAAGCAGGGGCTGGCAGAGAGAGCTGAACCAGTGCCATGTAAAAATGAACATGTGGTACCCTGGTACAACTTGTGAGCTCAGTGCCCAGCGCCCCTCAGGTCAGTGTTAAACAAGAGCAGAGTCCCATGAGCACTCAGGAAAAGCTTTGTGGCAGTCTTCCACCCATCCCTGTGAACCAGGACTGCTTGTCCATGGCATCACGTTCTCTTTCACTGTCCTTTTGTCTGTTGTGGCACCTCCCAGCACCAGGAGTGACAAGTTTTCCAGGAAAGCCTCTCCCAGCCTCCTTGCCCAGCTGCCCCTCACCGGGTGTTTCTCCAGAGGCTCTGTCAGCAGCATGTCTCCAAAAATGGTCCTGCAGTACTCGGCCATCTTTGCCTGCTGCTTGGGCCTGCAAGGGAGATCCATGTACTGTACCCAGAAACCACCCACTGCCTTGGCTCAGCCGTGCAGATGTTGAGGTGCCATTCCCAGCCCAACTCCCGTGTTCCCACAGTGCCACCCCGAGCTGAAAGGCTGCACAGTTGTGGCCACGCCACTCTGCAGGTTAGGGCTCGTCCTTCAGCTCTGACCCACCTCCAGTTGTTTCAGAAACCTCAATCAGTGTTTCATTTCAGCTCAGCACCCACTTCAAAGCCAGCAGCCCTTGCCTGTGTCCTTTCTGCTCTGGGCACAGAACACGGTTCTCCCGGGCACTGGATACTCACGAGTCCACGTGGTTCTCGAAGGACAGGATCACAGGGAACAGAGATGTTTTAAAAGCACTCTCTGCAATGGCCTCGATGGCATCCTGAGGGAAAGGCCAAGGTCAGAGAGCTCAGCACTCATTAATAACAGACACAGCTGCCCTCCCACTGAACACACTCCAGAATTGTCATTCTCAGGAGCTCCCTTCAAAGTCACTGAACTTCTCCCAGTAGGAAGGTGAGAGGTGTCACCTTTTTCACACCTGCCCACATTTCCAGCTCCAGGGCATGTAACCTGCTGCTAAACTCAACAGCCTACATAAAAATGCAGCTGCAGATGTAGGAAGATGAGGCTTTGGTTTTGCTGCACAGTTCAGTGTATCCATCACTGAATGTGAGAATGTCTGGCCAGACACAAACCCCTGCCCCAAACCACTGCCCTGTGCACCTTCAACCGGTACAGAAAGGTGTGTGCAGCACCAGGTTAAACCACATCCCACCCTATCCATACCTGCCCAATTTTCTGTAGTTTCAGCTGCTTACAAAACCCTTCTGCCTCGCAGCAGAGAGCTGGAGCGCTCAGTCACCAGCTGTGCTGACATTTCAAATGCAAATACCATGGAAACCTTCTCAGCATTAATGATGTAAGAAAAAATAACCATATTTTCCCCAAGTCCCTGTTAAGCTGCCACAAACTATCCACTGTTTTCCCTTCTGGTGCTGCTAATTGGTAAGGAAGTACCAGCAATTCCAGTCCCTGTTCATCCCAAATCCTGGTTCAGCCATGACCTCAGAATGGTGCCACAGCTGCTCCTCCATGGACCACTCGGGTGTGTCACAGAAATCTCAAGGCTCTGAGGAGAAGTTACAGAGCTACTGAAAGGCCCCAGGAATAGTAGAACAGGGAGAGAGGTGTGGAGGGAAAGGTCTGTTATGTATCATTATGTATTATGTAAAACCAAAACCCAGCACACGCTGTGTTAACAGGTTGTAATTTCCTTGAGGAACAGTCCCAGGCTGCAGCAGAACTCCGCAATTACAGCAGCTACAGCTGCCACTATTTCTGTTCTCTGTGCACTGAACTGCTGTGAAAAAAAGCAGCAGTGGCACTGCAGGGCTTGGGAAATTACTGACACCAAACACAACAATACCTCTGACCTTAAGGACTGGCTTGTTTAGTTGTTTTTTTCCCCTGAGGTAAATATTTTAGTAGCAGTGAAGGGTGGGAACTGAGGGGGAAGATACAGGAGAAAAACAAAGAGCTCTAAGAAGAATCTCCAGTGCCTCTGCCTGTTGGCAGCAGCTGTGTAAAGAGGTGCAGAAAAAATCAGTGTGCTGCATTGATTAGTAACCTGTCAGCTGTGGATAAATGCCCTCTATTGCCAAGGGAGAAGCAGACTTCGTGCTGTGCTTCCAAAGGCTGGGAGCTGAATCCTCAGGGAAGCAAGCTGCCCACAGAACACACTGCAACACTCAGGTCATTAGCAAGGAACTGAACCCTATTCCTCCAAAAGGCACCACGTGAGGCTTTCAGCCAGAGAAACCTGCTGCATGCCAGAACAGACACTCATTTAACTGTGTTTTCTAACAGCCATCCTGTTTGTCCACCTATCCAGAAATCCACCAGCCTGTCCTCTCCATCACAGACACATCTGCTCAGCCATCCCCCCACAGCTTCTGCCTGACTTCCTGCATTTCCCTTGGCTAGTCATCCATCTTCCTCCAGCTATCCACCTCTCTGCTGCTCCTCCTGCTCCAAAAACACACACAAACTCCAGCCTAGTGCCCATCTGTTCACCTTTCCTCCTCCCCACACATTCATGCCCTTGCCACCTCCCTCAATCTTTTCCTCTCTGCCCTCAGCCCAACCTGTTGGCAGCTCCCCAGTCTGAAGCCAGGCAAGGGAAAGCATCCCTGGAGGAAGGTGCTCCCTACCTTGAAGAGGATCTCTGTGGTCATGGTGAAGCCGTGGGTGATGATGGGCTCCTCGTCCGGGGGCCGGCCCTTCCAGCAGTCCAGCTCCACGCAGCGGCAGCCGGCCAGGAGCGCCTGCCGGTACATCTCGGCAGAGGAGATCCCAGAGAACTGCCCAGCTGTGGGAGACAGGCTCAGCCTTAACTCCTCACACAGACAGGAGCAGCAGGAATCACTGCCAGCCCCCAGCAAGAGGTCTGCAGGCAGAGGGTGACACTTCCCCTCACACAGCGTTCAGAGCCCACCCCAGCCCTCAGCCCCCAGGCCCCACTGCCTGTGCCATCCATCCATCCCTCCCTCCCTGGGATGGTGCCTCCCTCGGGAACAGCCCAGACCTGTGAGATAGGTGTTGTGTGAGGAATTGATGAAGTAGTGTGAGAGGGGCTGGGTCATGTCCTGGTACAGCAGCAGCTTGTCCAGGGCGATCACGTTGTTCTCGGGGCCACAGAGGAACCAGACCATCCCCTCTGGAGAGAGCTGCCCTGCATGGAAAACAGAGCTGGCCACGTGCCCGCACACAACAGCTCTGGCACCTCAGCACAGGGAGGTGTGGCAGCCAGGCTGACTGCTCCTCTGGGAAGCAAGATGGTAGCAGGAATGAGATGCTCTGCGCTTCCATCCCAGCTCCAAAGCAGGAGATGTGGGCTGAAGCAGACTGACCTCTCTGGATGTTGATCCCGCTGGGCTCGTACTTCTCGATGAGGCTTTGCACCTGCTCGGGCCTGGCTGGAGGGAACAGGCTGTCATTGAGGCGGGAGTCGCGCTGCTTCTTGTTGATGAACTTGGCCAGGTGCTCCTTGGTCATGTAGGGCTTTGCTTTTAGATGGCTGTGGGGAGAGAACCCCAGAGGTAAGGCCTGGAAATTACTCAGGAAACCTCTTCACAGGAGGGACTGGCCATTCCCTGGGTTAGCAGCGGGGTCCCCCTCTCCAGGCCCACATTTCTGCTTTGTCCACGTTTCTTTCTGTAAATGATGCTTCCCACTGTGCCCTTTCTTCTTCCTCACTAATTCCATATTGGAAACAGCTTGCACTGAGGGCAAGAAAAAGCACATTTTGAGGGTCTAACCTGAACCCTAAAAAGGCCTGAATTTCAGAGCATTCACTGCCTGCCCTGTAAAATCAAGTCCATGTAAGAAGTCACAGATTTAGGCACTTGAAAAACAAAAGGTCCCTGGGTACTTGTGAGATCTGTGGTTCTCACACTGCCTCTTTGGGGTTGGCCACATGGGCATGACTTAAGTGCTGACCTGGGCTCAGCCCTCCTGCTGGGGACAGTTCAGGGTCCCCACAGCACAGGGAGGGCTCATCCATTCTATCCAGGCTGGGAGTGAAGGTGTTGAGTGATCTGGTTCCTGCCCTTCTGAGGCTTCAGACCAGACAAACCACGTGGGATTAAATCCCACCCCACTTCTGTCTATCTGTTGCCACAAGAGCTCCAGTTCAGGGCTGTGGCTTGAGGGGAACTTACTGTGAGGTAAATATCTCATCGATCTCGGGCCGGGGACACAGATTCATGAGGAAAGTCTTGTACACGGGCTCGGGGAAGTCCTCTGGGTTGATGGCATCATTCTGAGGACACAGAGAGGACATGTCAGGACCACAGACCTCTCATTAAGACTTCCCTGAGCCAACACAAGTGACTGGAACATCCGCCCAGGTGCTGCTGTCCCTGTGCCACCCAGTGCAAGTGTTCCTGCAACACAGCCAGAACTGCCCCCAGCAGGCTGGAGTTCAAGCCTGGCAGTGGTGAGAAAAAGGTTTCACAGCATCTGAAAGCATCTGGGCTGGTGGTTTTTTACAGCCAAGGGAACTGCAGTCAGGGCAGGCAAAAGGATCCCTCTCAAGCCAGCGAGACCTCTGGGTACCCAGAGAAACCCTTACCTTGCCCTTTGGGAGGTGACAAGCACTTAGTGCTGCTTCCACCCTCTTCCTGTCTGCAGGGAACATCTGAAAAATACTGACAAGGAGGACAGGGATCACAATGGAGGAGCAAAAAGGGCAAGAAGGCTGGGGCTGCAGGCAGTGCAGGACACTCCAAAGGCACAGCAAGGGAGGCTGATGGACCAGGGCAGACAGACTGTTTCTCCAAGGGAGGTGCAGAGTTCAATAAACCTACAGAGGGTTTTCTGACTGCTGATCTAATGCAGAAGTTCTGTATTTCTGCTATGGACTCTGCAAGAGCCCTGTCCCTCTTAAAATCCCTCTTCCCTGTCCCACCCTCTTGGAGGTGCTCCCTGAGGCAGCAGATCTCATGTCACCAACTCCCAGGACACTTCTGCCCACAAGACACTCTCCCTGTGGGAGCTGGCACTGGCAAGGAATTACTCTGTAGTCAAGGCAACAAGACTCAAAAACTCCAAACAACCGTCCTGCACGCTTCTGCTTTGAAAGGGAGCAACATGTTCTGGAACCAGAGGCTTTCCATGAATTCAAGGAACAAACTCATTGCACAGGCAGGGACCGGGATACCACATGACTCTGCAGGAACCAAAGCTCCTTTCCAATAGTAAAAGCTGGGACTGGACTGCAGGGCACAGTTCCCCAGGTCAAACCTTCAGCTAAAAGCAGCTGCAGGGTGGAGCAAGTACACGGACTGAACCCTCCTGCTTTCAGAACATCCCAGGCAGCAGCACGGTGCTCTCCTCCTGGACAAGCTGAGGCTCAGCTCTGTTAAGCTACCGGCATCACCGGTGCTCACAGACAAACAGGGCCCAGGGAGTGCCCTGTGCTGCCAGGTGGGAGTGCTGAGGGGGCTGCAGCAGCTCATGCAAACCCAGGCTGCCCTTTGCAAGGCAAAACTGCAGCAGCCCTGGAAGGATACCAAAGGGATTTACATGTCTAAAGAGAAAGGCAGATAGATACTCGTGGAATTTTCAGAATAATTCAGACTGGAGTTTTGAAAGCCTTACATTTATCTGCACCTGGAGATACGGAGTATTTTTACAAGTCTGGCTCTTAGTCTGGACTATTTAATGGTCTGAATTGTTACCATTCTGCAGGAAATGGGCACTGAGGAGAGGTACAGCCTGTACCAGATATTCTTTCTCATTGTTTCAGAGGAATAAGCTGGTTCCCCCTGCAGCAACGCTACCTTGGCTTGCATTTTAAAGACCAATTCAAAGCACTCTTCCCCAGTGTGTTATTCATTACAGACCTATACATTTTTAACAGCCCTTTGATGAATACTCTGGTTTCCACAGAATGAAATTCTGCTGGTAGGTGGTTTAGAAAACAAATAACAGCAAATGTTTCGCGTTGAATAAAGCTCAGCCATCCAGGGGCCCAATCAGCCCCCACAGCCCTAACCCAGCACCTTCTGCCACACAACACCGCCCGGGGAGGGCGTTCATTAGGGGTGATCAGTGCTCGCCTTTGTGATGCTGTGACACAGCTCAAGCAGAGTGGTTCAAAACCTCCCAAGTGCTCTGTCTGCAGCTCCTTACTCTAAACAAAAGGTAATTCATGGATATCCTGCAGGTTGAGGGATGGCAGAAGTGGAGAAGGACCAGTGGAGAAGAGCTGGGGTGGTCACACGGGAGAAAAGGAGACAAATGAAAGCAAGGGAGCCCCACTTCAGGTGAGCTGGGGAGCCCAGCCAAGGGCTCTCCACATCCAGAACTCCTCACAGGAAAGGGAGACTGATCCCTACACCTCATGCAGGTATCAACTCAGATTTGCAAAACAACCTGTGATCAGAATTTTACCAGAGTTGCTTGGGTTTGTTGATTATTTGTTGGCAACAGCTAGGAAATGAAATCTATGGCTGTTTAGGGCCATTTCTTGCTCTAGATGAAGGCCAAAGCCCCCTTTCCCAAATTATGTCCCTGACCCAAATTATGTGCCAGGTCCTTCCTGGGGAGGAACCAAAGTGCAGCAGGAGCCCTTCTGTGGCTTGAATCCAGAGGGAATGATCTCTACCTCTTAGATGTAGGAAAATAGGCAGTTGAAGCCACTGGGCAACCATCCTCTTACCACCTGCTCTGCCTCTAGTCTGACTGAACACACAATAAAACAAACATCCACACTCACTTCCTGACAGGAATCTTCCCCTCTGCATTCAGCTGCATCTTCAGCTTCACCAGGCTGTGGAAAAAAAGGCCAAACAAGATTATGAAAATGCACTTGTGCAGCCTTGGAAATCCTATTAAGTAAGGAGAGAGGAAAAATATATTATTGGTAAAAAAAAATCTACCATTGAACTGAAAATCAGGGTCCTGCAGAACCCTAACTTGGCCTGAGCCAGGCCTTGGTCTGGAGGCTGCTAAGAAGCCTTTTTTCCCAGTACAGGCAGGAATGTTTCACTCACATTTTCTCCAGGAAGGTGTAGCGGGAGGCGTTGTACGTGAGGGGATTGCGCACGATGGCCAGGATGTCGTCAGCCCAGCTCTGCAACACACACAGGGCACAGGCACTGTGGGACGGCCCTGGGGCACTCACAGCAAACATGCAAAGGGCACAGCATCCCAGAATGCTCTGGGTTGGAAGAGACCTTACAGCTCATCCAGTACCACCCCCTGCCATGGGCAGGGACACCTTCCACTAGCCCAGGTTGCTCCAGCCTGGCCTTGGACACTTCCAGGGATGGAGTAGCCACAGCTTCTCTGGGCAACCTGTGCCAGGGCCTCCCCACCCTCACAGGGAAGAATTTCCTCCCACATCCACTCTAAATCTACTTGTTCCAGTTTAGAACCATTACCCCTTGTCCTGTCCAATACTGCTGGGCTCCAAATCCCAACATCTGTGCCCTGGGCTTGGCTCTATCACCCTCCTCCTGCCTACAGACACCAGCAGCTGAAACTTTGCCACTTCTCAGCTCCTGTTCATCCTTACAAAACACAGGAAGGACAACAATGACTCACTAAATACCTTCTACTGGTCCTACTCCATGCAGGGTAGAAGTCTGTAGAACTACAGAGGATCCACACCTGACAAACAGACCTGCTTGTTTATAACCTTGCCAGTAGCACTGACAGGGCTCAGGGTCCTCTCCTTTCCTGCTCCCCACTGAATACCCCAACCCTTAGTGGTTCCCAGTGCTCCCATGCCCTCAGGATCCAGTACCTTGCCGACATTCTCCTTGTAGGACACGAAGTTATGGAAAGTGAGGTCAACCATGTCAGGGCCAGACACAATGGTCAGGGTCTTCAGCAGGAAAGTGCTGTGAGGGTAATCCAGGTTAAAAACCTCTCGGAGCTTCTGGCACTGCCAAAGAAACACAACAGAGGGGGATGAGGGGAGAAGAAGGGAAAACTGCACCCAAAAATCAGGCCCCAATCCAACCATCGACCCAAATCCACAGCAAGCTCCTCAAGGGTTGCAAAATTGCTTAATGCAATCTTCCTTTCGTCTTTATTCTGGAGCCTGCATTACCTGGGACAAGCCCTTGTGGCAAACACCACACACAGTTTTAGTCTGAAAGAGGCTCAGTTGGAGACTGCCCTTAAAGAAATTCCTTCTGGAACTCTGGGTTGGACTTGCAGACAAGCAGAGGAGGGTTTGGCCTGCTCACACAGAGGTGTGTAACAGGGTGATTTTGTCAAAACACACACTAGGAGAGTTTTTTTAATTAGTGTGACACCTTTACCTGGAACCTCCCTCCACAAGAAAGATCACTTTTGGGACCCCAGTTACTCCCTCCAAGCCCCATTTTCTGCTGTTGTCAGTTGTTAACAGTGGTTTTTTTCCATGGCAATTCCAGTATCCTACAGCAATGGCTCACCAGGGATTTGTTTTGTTAAGTATAAGGCTCATCCGATTAGTGGTACTTGGATTTCAGCACCATATCAAAGTATTTATAGAATCCTTTAAATTATTCAGCATTTTCTGCATTCCTACGTGAGGTGCTGCTAAGCCAAGATATCCCAGAGTTCTACTGCTGATGCTGTTTATAATGGGAAGACAAAATTCCCGCTCCTCCAGGAAAGCACAGCAATTCCTTATCTGAAAGGCAGGCTAAAGCCCTGTCCAAGCAAAAAGGGCACTGTCAGAGCACCCACTCCTTCAGAAACAGGGTAAAATCCACAATCTGGGGCTCTCAGAGCAGGTCAGACGGGGAAGTTAAATTGGAGCTGGAGTGTGAGCTCAGCTTCAGGCACCACGTGTCTGCACCACGTCACACACAGAGCTGCAGACATCTTATAAGGAACTGCTGATTTTTTCCACTGCAATTTTCCAAATTTCTGGAGCATTTGCAATTCTGACACATCTGTAGCCAACAGGCATCTTTAGGAAAAATGGGATGGGCTGGACTGTAAATCAGGGTCACCTGACTGCTGTCTCTCCCTTTGGAAAAGCACCTCTCCAAGGGAGTAACTCTGAAACCTGCTTAATCCCAGAGCATTTGGAGGGAGACAAGGGGGAGCACTCACCCACCAGAAAATGTGCCTATTTTCTGCTAGGGAATTTCTCCAGTGGCTCATTCTTGCCTCGTGAGCCCTTTTCCTTGGCAGAGCCGAGCACCACCCACACACCCCCATCTCCTGCTCGTGGCAACTCCTCCATGGAGCTCTGCTTTTCAGCAGAGGGTTGGGGTTTTAACTCCAAATTAACTTCATCCTGCAAAGCCAGCTGTGTTTGCTCACTCCAGGGCCGCACAGGAGATGGGGCCCAGACAATGGAGAACTTGTGGTTGTGCTGAACTCATTTCCTGTATTTGTTACCCGGGGCTCCTCCCAGCCCTTCCTTCTCCACAGGCTGCTCCTCTGCAGACACTTTGTCACCTGGTTCTCCAGACCCTCCTGCCTAGCCAGGCCCCAGCAGGACAAGTGCTGCACCAGAGCTTTTGCCCTCATCCAGGCAGGGATGTATCCAGCACCCAATGGAGATGGGGAGAGAGCACCAGAGACCGTGTCCAGGAGCTCCACAACCTGCACTGCTTTAGCACCTTGTGCTGCAGCTTCACTCCACAATTACTCAGAGTCACTTTGCAGATGGCCATAAGGAAAAATAGGAATCACTGCATGAAAAGCAGGATAAGGATATTAGCCATGCAAATCAGAAGGGAAACACACTCAGCAAATCCACTTAAAAAAACCCAAACAAGCAGAAAACAACCCATCAGCAAAGCTGAAACAGAGCTCCCATTTCACATCCCACCCTCCTGATTTCCCTAAAACCCTCGGCTGTACAGAGCAGAACCATAGTCCAGAGAAAATCAAATTCTCATGCAAATATAAACAAAGAGCCAGATGCCTAGAAGGGGACAGAGCCGAGTGCCAGTGGGACCTGCCACAGCTACACACACGTGTCACTGCACCCTCAAAGTCCTGTGGCTCTTGGGGACAGGATAGCAAATCTTCTGTTTTGGAGAAGAAAGGTCTTGTTTGGTTGCCAGAAGGGGAAAAGGGAGCACTGAGGAACTTCCAAACCTCTGACTCTGGAGGTACCACTGCTGTCCCCCGAGCTGGAGGCGATGGCTGGGAGTGGGGAGTGCCGGCCTGTCCCTGTGCCAACCAGCTCAGGGACACAGGCAGCCCAAAATCCACAGGGAAGCACTCCCACCTCTCAGTGTCTTATCTAAAGGAACTGGAGAACACAGCAGCACACAGATTCACAGGCACAAAATCAGCCGTGGGGTTCTGGAACCCAACAGGGACACACTGCCAGGGACGGGGGAGTCGGTGCGTCCTCGGGAACTCCCGGCCCCGTGCCCCGGAGCTCTTGCTGTGACACGATGGAGGAGGCAGCAGGAGGGCCCAGCAAGGTTCTTGCTCTCTTTCCCTGCTCAGCTCCTGCTCCCCCATCTATAATTCCTGTGCCAGCCACCGGCTTGGACCTTGCACACACACAGATCAGTGTCTCTGTATGGCTCCGTGGGATTGTCCTCCACTTGGAGGGCTGGAATGAGACTTGGTTTAGCTCCATCCTGGGCTCACACACATTGCTGAATCCCAGTCCCAGAGCTGCCCCATCCTCTGTGCTGCAGCAGAATCACTGACCACCCACAGTGTTTACAGCCCGTGGCTCACAGCCCACGGCTCAGCTCCGAGGGCGCTGTTGCTGCTCCTGGTGGTCCCTAAACATTCCCACTCGCTCCTCCTTTATCATCTCAAAACATGGGGTGTGACATCCCTCGGTATCATTTTCTCCCTGCACATGTTCAGTTCATCTCTGGGTTCAACACCACCAGAATGTGGATGGAGGATGGAGCTGGTTCATCCTCACGACAGTCAGAAAGAACAACTTCTGTTCTTATGAGAACTATGCCTGTCTCAAAGCCAACGCCTCCCAAAACATCTAAACAAACCCCAAGGAGAAGCCAACAGCACAGCAGTCTGGCCTAAAACATCCTGGATTTTGGCCTGAATTATTATTACGTTCTCTGTCAGCGCTCTGGGGTCTTGGTGCCTCCAAAACCCACCCGAAATGGAGGAGCCCTTGTTGTCCCTCGTTACCAAAAGGCAAACACAGACCTGAGTGTAAATAACACCCGACTGTGTCAGTGCTGAGCTGCTCTCCATCTTGTCTCCTGGTTCTTCAAAGGCCCTGCTCACTCTTATCTCCAGTGCTCTTGAACACACGCCAAGGTTTGTTCTGCCCTGTCTCTCAAGAGAAACTTTCTGTGAAGGAAAACCACGGAGCAGCTCCGGGAGGAGCTCACACAGTGGGGAGCAGGAGAACCCTGGCAGGCTGGGAGGGCAAGAGAGCAGCATTCCCACTGGGAGGGGGCTCCTCCTGCTGCCAGCCCACAGTGACTCCCTTTCCATGCCACACTTTCCACGCTCCCCAGGCTCCGGGGTGGGGCCCGGCTGTGACCTGGGAGGGAGCGGGGCCCTTCTCAAGTGGTTTTCCGCGGGGGCGCTTTGGTGTCGCTCCTCTTGCTGTGTGTGGAGGTCACAAAGGAAAACCCCAAACCTCCTGCTCAGCAGTGGTGGGAAAGTGCTACTGAAAGCAGGGAGCTCCCCACATCCCCAGGGAGTCCCACTCCCAGGGAGACTCACATCACTGCTGTGGGGCTGGAGAGCTCAGGGCATGTTCCATCCTCAAGCCACAGCCTAAACCTGCACAGCCCCTTGCCGAGGAAAGCAGGGGCACTTTCCTTCCTCTGAAATTCCCTCAGTCACAGTCCAGGAGGAAAACCAGGCCACAAGCTTTTCCTCACAGCAGCTGTGGATTTACTATGGAATCACTTACAGGGAAGGGGAAAGGATGCTCCATTTGCTACTGTTGCTACCCAGAGCTCTTCCTGCAGCTGTGATCCTGTTCTCCTTGTCCTAAGTAAGATCCATCAGCTCTTTCTCCTCCACTTTCAGCCAGTGAAACAACTGTCTGTATGAATCCAGCAGTTCTACCCCAAAACCATTCCAAGCCTCCACAGTGCTCCACACAGCACCGTGTCCACTCTTTCACCCCAAACCAAACTTTGTTTTGTCACACCATGTTTATACCCTCTATAATGACACCCCAGCCAGAGCTGCCCCACCTGGAGGGTGTGGTGGTTCCTGGGAAGACATTTTCCCTGCTTTCTGCATTCCTTTGTGAAACTGTGCTCTGGGGAAAGGCAGCTGAACACACCCCCGAGGGCTCTGAGCCAGAAGCATCATGGACAGCACAGCCACGTGTAAATAAGAGTTTTCCAGGCCTGGATGGCACATGCCTCCCACCACTCTGGTTCAACAACTCTTTCAGTGCCCACACAGGACCTCCCAGCATCCCCTAAGGGAAAGGTTGTCAGCAAATGCATCACTTCTGCCTGCTGACAATACTTAATAAATCCCTTGGTGCTTGACCTTTGCTTCCTTGTTCATCAAAAAAGAGCTGTAGACAATTCCCAGGCTGTAAAATAACATCCCTGGCCTATTACAAGGGCTGGAACACGGCAGCTCCCCCGTCAGACCCGGATCCAGGGCCTGAGGAATGCACAGCTACAGGGAGAACACACTGACACCTCCCTGGCACATCCCTGCAGCTCCCAGCAAGCTGGGCTTCAGCAGCTTCCCAAGCCAGAGGCACCAGCTCACATCCAATAACCCCCAAGGGCATTCCTTTCTCATCCCGACTTTCTGCACTCACAGAGGTTTCCAGGGCTGGGGCAGGAAGCATCCCATGGCACCTCCTGCTTGTGCCTCACCTGCCTCTGGAACACTCCACTCGATGTGGACTCTGACACTGGAAGAAACCCTGAGGAACTGCTTCAAACCCCGAGTGAGTGCTTTGTGCTCACCTCCTCCATTCAACTCCTGGTTTTCCAGCACTCACAACCCTCCTCCACATCCCCCTCATCTTTTCCCTTCTGCCAGACTACAGTTCCTCCTACTCACATGCTCTTCCCACAGCAGCCATTTGGCTCCTTTATTAATCCCACTGCTCTTCCCTGCCTTTTCCAGCTCTTGCCTTGTTCTAAGACACTAGAATAGCACAGAAATAGGGGTGCACTGGGGGTGCACACGGCAGCAGGATTTCCTAATTATTTCCTTATCATTCCCAACGTACAATTTACTTTCTCGGCGCGGTCCTGCTGAACAGTGTTGATATCGTAGCACACACCCACGGAGTGTCTGAGTACCAACAGCCACCCCAGGGCCTGTTCTTGCTGAAGGATGAGGGACTTTTCTCTGTCTGCACTGCCTGATTTTTATCTGTCTGAATGTTATCACTCACCAGATCATCCAGTCAATCAGCAATTCAAGGTCTTCCTACAAATCAGCATCATTTTATTACCCCAAATAACTCGGTCCCATTGGCAAACTCTCTCTTCTCCTGGCAGCCTCCAATTAGTCTTCCTTAACTAATTGCTAAAATCTAGGACATTTTTCTCCTGCCTGTTGCCACCAGGACATCCACCCACGGCCTCAATACTTCCACCAGCAATTTATCACCTTTATCAAAGCCCAGTTCATTTTGTAAACATGTCATTCCTCAAAGTTTACTATCCCAGAAAATACTGTCTCATACCTCTCCTTTAAGTTGGCCTTTTCCTTAGGGATCTTGTCCGGAGTGTGGTACCAACTCTACCAGCCCCAAATATTTTATCCTCTCAAATGAAAAAACAACATCCAGAGAGCTTTTTTTCGAACACTATTCCCACAGAACAAGTTGCAGACAAAGTTTTAGGTGTGTTGAAAACTCAAATATGTTCCATTCGAGTGAATTTCCAAGGAGAAACCCAGTTCCTCAGAAGGACTTATGACTTGTAGGGACAGGGGTGCTGTTCTTGAGCTCTGCTGTGCCTTTAGCACCCACCTGACATGGTGTTTAGAGAAACACTGGTCTCAGGGAGCTCTGGACAGGCCTTTTCAGAGCAGATTGAGAAAACAGCTGCAGGGCTTGTGCAAAAGGCTCAGCAGATATTGCAAAACCTTCTGCCTTAGACAGTCACCTGCATCACCACGGGAGCCACCAGCTCTACTCCTTTGGGTGCTTTCCACCTTCACTGTAGTTTTCTGCTTGCCTTTCCATACATGGAAAAGTTAAAAACAAACCAAAAAACAGTCCCAGGCAAAAAGTCCTAGCAAGGACAACGTTGCTGCAGGAAGCTTAAATTACAGCTGAGAGCAAGAGCAAAGCCCTGATCATGTGCTTCCCTTCATGTGCCACCCTGCAAGCAGACAGTGGCAAACTATAGGGGGGGAAAAACAAAAGAAAGAAACTAGTTTTTCTGAAAGTGCATTTTCTTCCCTTTAAAGGGAAAAACCCCAGCACACAGGGCTGGAAGCTCGCTGTAACTCCAGGTTTGGGGGTGCCCTGACCCAGCCTGTGCATCCTTGCACAAGAGCAGCTCCAGTGACTCAGTGCAGGAGCATCACAGTCTCCAGCAGGACTTTCCAGGGCAGCAGGGCACTTGGAAAGGCCATTGTTGATATTGCTTCCTACCATAGTCTGGAAGTGCCTCTTTTGGGTGCACAGAGGACCCCAGGGAGCTCAGGGACAGGAGTAAAGACGGCTTTTCTGTATTTACATAGTTGTGATGCAAGGAGGTAAGAAACCCTCCACTTCTTCCACCAGCAATCCAGGACAAGCTGCCTGAGCTTCCACCAAAGCCCCAGGCAGCCCTGTCTTTGCCACAGGAACATCAGGTAGAAAGAAGCTGCGGACTCACCTTGGGGATTTTGGCAAACCGCCCCACTCGGGTGTCTCGGATGCTGGTGATATCCAGAATTTCCATTTCCTACAAGACAACAACGACAAGGAAGATGAGGAAGGGCAATGGAGAAGGAAAGCACTCCATCACAGTGCCCCCAGAAGTTACAAGGCAGGTCTCAGCCAGTGCTTTTCCCTGCAGAAGAGCTGTCCCAGCAGGACCAAGGCAGGGAGGGAAGCAATTCCCATGGAAGACACTCCACAGCCTTCCCCAGGCAGCCCCTCCACATCCCCACTACTGGCTTGTTGTCATGTTCTTGTTTGTTCTTTTAACATCCAACCTGGATTTCCTTCCTCTGTTACTAATTTTTCCTCTCGCTGTGGGTCTGGAGAACAAATTATACTTGTTGCAGCAGATAATATTATTTTCCAAGATCCCAACATGGGACAATGTGGATACCATGTCTTCTGGCTGTATCCCCATTTTATTGTTCAGCAGGACAGGAATTTTACTCCTAATCCCACTCCTTTCTGAATCCCTAGTGCAAAAGCAGTTCACTTGACTTTAGGAGTTAATCAAAAGCATTTTCCAGGAATGTGAGACACCCCCCTCAGTCTGGGTTTCCTCGTGGCAGCTTTCTCCCGTTCCCCCAGCCCCCTTCCCAGGCATCCCAGTGAGGTATCTCCCCTTCCATGGTGACAGCAGCTCCCTCACTTTGTGTGCTCCACTTCTTCCTGCTGGAACCCTTACAGTAGAAATTCTACTGCCTGGAGCAGACCTTGAAAGGGGGATGGGGGTGACAGAGACACCTGGAGGGGTGTGACAGTGCCCAGCCCTGTGACACTGCTCTGCAGGACACGGCTGTGGCACTGCCTGGCCCAGCTGGCACTGGGTACCATCTCCTGGAAAGACAGAGCTCCCCCAAAGCCCTCAGGTCCCCGGCCAGGGCCTGTGCAGGACGGGCTCTGCCTCTGCCTCATCATGTAGGTCAGGGGGAGGAAGTGGAGCTGAACCACAGCCCTGCTCTGGAAAGCAGAAGTGAGCCCAGCCTTCCACCTCTCTCAGCCAGAGCTCCCCACCACTCACTGCTACTCCCGACTGAGGAACTGAACTCTCCCCTGGCTGTGCTGCCTCTCCCTCCCCTGCAGCAGCTGCAGCCCCTGCTCTGCTCCAGGGTGAGGACACGGCACCCTGGGCACACCCTGCCCTCCAGACTCTGTGTGGGCACGACAGCACTACGGTCACTGCTCTGGTCTTTTGAATTAAAATGTCTAAAACCCCAGTTAGTCAGTTAATGGGCCACTGTCCAGGCTGGGAGAACCCTCTGGGTGACAGGGATATCAACATGACTGTTCTCCATGACAGGCAGGGAAAGGCCACGCTCACAGCTTCACCTCCTGCTCTGCCCTGGCACTGGGAAGACAAACCTGCCACGGAATAACTCCCACCCTGTGAAGTGTTCCTGCTGAGAGGAATGGCTGTGGCAGTTTGTTCCTGAGTACAGGCCTCAGCACCTGTGGTGTGTTCATCTCACACAGACCTGTTGGGCTGTTTGGAGCCCAAGGGGTGCAGTGTCAGAGCTCACCTTGTTCTGATAGGTCCAGTACACGTAAAAGCCCTTCGGATCCACTCGGAGAATCACGGGAGAAGCACTTGCTGTTTCCTGATCAAAAAAACACAAAAAGAAAGTTGGTACCTCAGCTGAATTGGAGAACCCACCATGGAATACCAGGTTCCCAGTGCAAACACAGCCCCACAGACTGGCTGTGCACACACAGGGGAAGAAGCAGCTGTGGAGACCCCCACAAGATAAGATCCATTCCCATCTCCTGTGCAAGCTAAGAGAAGAATCAGTGTGAGCTCTCTGGAGACAGGGATGAGGACTCCTGGTGCCTCTGTGTGTCCCAGCCCCTCCACTCGCTCATTGTAGAAGACTCCTCACTGTACTTGCCCTCTGGTACCACACAAGACAGGATCATAAGGCCTATCAGCCATTTCTGGGAAGGCTCCAAACTCAATTCAGGAAGCTGAAACACCCAGCTGCTGAGCTGAAACCAGTAATGAAATGTGGACATTGCACTTGTCCCTTGGGTTTGTCACTTTGTCACTGAACTCATTCTTCACCCTAGAGTGTATCTGTATTTCCAGGGACCTCCAGTTCCAGATCCGACATCTTTGTTATGGTGAGCTCATTGCACAGCACATCATCTGTGCTCCTTTTACTCCCTGTTGTTGTTCTCCTGCTCTTCCAGGGACAGCATCGAGCTGCCCAGCACCACGTCCGTGCTCCCAGAGCTCCTGGCTGGCTCCCTGCACACGTGGCCACGAGCCATGAGGAGCAGCACAGGCACTGTGGTCCTCCCCAGAGCATTGTGCCAGGTTCTAGATTAGCCTTATCTCCCATGAAGCAGCACTGAAGGTCAGCTGAGGCTGCAGGGGGGCTGTGACAGTCGGGCTCCTGAGCTACTACAAGGGCTAAGAGTCAGCACAGAGCAAACCCACACCCATCTGCCCCACTTAAGAGGTCACCCACTACTCTGTGCCCTCTCTGGATTCTGAAAGGGTTCCCAAGCTGGTTCTTGAACTAAACTACTGTCCATGTCCTCTTCAGCCCGCTTGGCATTTGCTGGGTGCTACCCAACCCCAAGGTGTTACAGGAACTGTGGGCCAGGTCAGAACAGCTCTGCTGCCCTCTCCTCCAGACAATGCCTTATAAAAGCTGGACAAGGTGAGGGCTCTGTAGAAACAGTGTGGGTTTGCTTTTTTTTTTTTTTTTGCTGGAAGACCCCAGTCTAGTCCCAAACTGTCCAGAGTGATGTAAGAGCCCAATATGATCTGCCTTCATTCCTGTGCCTCACTTACTGTGGAAGGAGTTCCAAACTGTTGCTGACAGCATGGCCAGGTCAATTCAAAGACAGACAGACAACCAGCACTCAGGGGTTCTAAAGCACAGCAATCCTGCAGCCTGGAGCTCTCCCCATCATCCTCTGCAGCCTGCTCTCACCCTGGATTGGGAAAGCTCAATGAGATGGAGCAACGTGACCAGAACGGCCCACTTAAGGAGAAGCCTTTGTTATTGGTGGAGACCAAGCCTCCAAACCACTTAGCTGAGGCAACAATTTAGGAATGTTTACAAATTTGTAAACCTTAAGGAAAGATCCAGGCAGGAATTAAAGCTCATGAACTCCAATGGTTACAGCAGCAAATAAACACTTGGTGGGTCTTGGAAGCCCAACTTGACCCACCTTAGGTTTCAAGGGAGCCTATCCCAGAAATTCCCAGTGAAGTACTTAACAGCTTCAAGTTTTTGAGAGAGTGGTCTCCAAGGACAGAGCACAAAGTCAGCAGCAACTTTAAAGAACTTTGGCTACTGTCATTCTCAGAAACCAGATCTCTGTTCAATTTCCAAGAAGCCCCAAGTGCACCCTGCAGGCAGTGGGCCCACGGGAAGGAGGGGGCAGGCTGCACTTTCCACTGTACTCTGGTGTCATCCTCCCATTTATGTACTGCTGGTGGAGTAACTGGCAATGATATTCTAACCTGTATTCCTCAGCACCCACCCCCTCTGTCAGCTGCACAGCACATTGCCCTCTCATTTCGTGGTGCCCTGGACCACCTGCTGCTGCTGCACAGAAGTGATCTACCCCCCCACGCTGCCTTGGGACTTCAAACTCTGTTCCAGCTTCACACCCACCAAAGCACTAATCCCTCCTGCACTGCTGCTGGAGGCTTCTTCTAATCATCTCATTCGCAACACATCAACAACCATGTCCCCAGATCCTGGTGAATAACCACAACCTGGTTATTCTGGTTTTCTCCCATCTGTGCTCAACAGCAGACAATCCACCTCCTGCTCAGGTGTGTGGGTACTGGGCTGAACACTCCTTTGCCTCCTTACAAAAAGAGGGGGGGAAACGTTACCTTCAAATTAACTTGTGCTCCTCACATTCTTCCCCTCACACAGAAGGGCGGGACTGCAAACCAGCTGTTTTGAAGGTAAGAAGGACACAGAGCTGGAAAGAGCAGCAGCTTCCTGCAGCACCCCAGAGGCTCCAGCCCTGTCATAGCACAGGCCCTCTGCCACTGTGCACTTGGGAATTCCCAGAGCCCGGAGCAGGGCAGGCGTGGGAGGCCATGGCCCGCTGATCCACTCAGGCAACAGGGCCATAAGAGGAAGCAACTTGGAGCCTGATTTCCTCTCTATCTGCAAAGCACAGTGAGCCCTCTCAGCTCTGGAGCAGATCCTACCCCTCAGGCTCATCTGGACAATCCGAATGTAGCGCGCACCTCTCACCCCGGGGAGATCCCAGCAGGATCCTCCCCAAGGGCTGGACTCTGGTCCCACCCCAGTGCTGCACACACAGACCCAGTGCACATCACTCCCTTTGCTTCCATCGTCCCCAACCAGAGGTGCAGCCGCCAAAACCCCAACCCCTCACACACACAACGCCCTTGATCTTAGCCCTCAGCTCTCCTGTTCTTCCCACTTCCCTCTCCCCACGCAGGCATCTCTGCTCTCAGGTGGGACACACAACGTCCCATCCAGCACGCTGAGCCTCCCCACAAACCCTGCCCACACCACAGTGTCTCGGGGACACCACACACCCCATGTGGGGAAGCCAAGCCCCAGTACTCACATCGTCCCATTTGATGAAGCGCTCGCCCTTGCACAGGTACTCCTTCACCTCGGGGGGCTGCAGGACGGGGGTCAGCATGGACATGGTCCCACCGATGTGCTCCTCAGCCTCCAGGAGCAAGGGCAGCTGCACACTCGGCTCCGCTCGGCCCCTCTGCTCTATCTGTGCCTCTCACGTTGCAGGGCGCTCTGCCATGGCCACTGTTGGCATCGGAGAGCGAACGGCCTCTTATATCCCAGCCCAGCTCAGGAGGGGCAGGGAGCGAGGAATCTGCATTGTAAATCAGCAGCTCTCCGGGCAGGCAGAGCCTCACCCCAGGTCACCCAGGGAGGCAGGCGGTGCCCGTGGGCAGGCGGGCAGGCACCCGCTGTGGCTCCGGAGGGACCCGCTCCTCGGAGCGCAGCTCGAGAGGCACCCGGCTCGCTCCACTTCCGCAGCTCCACTTCCTTAAGTGTTCTCTCGACGGAGTGCAGGCATTGCCAGAGACGCTCCGGCCGCTGAGGTGCCGAGCAGCCCGGCCCTGGCTGCAGGCAGACTGCCCCCTCCGTGCAATGAGCCAGATATCCCGGGAAAGGAACTCACTCCATCGCTGGGGCCACGCGCTGCACTCCTCTCCAGCCCCTCTCTTATGGGCTCTTCTGAACGTCATCCAGAAAGTGACACAGACCAGCAGAGCAGCTGGAAATTCCCCAGAGAAAATAAAACATTCCCAGAGTCCCGAGGAACTGCACTGCTCTCCAGATTCACTTGAGTCCGTGGCAGATACTGTGGGACACGGAATGGGAGAGGTGGGACAGGGGGGATTGTAGTGACGAGGCTGCAGGGAAGTGACCCAAAGTAGAACAGGTTAAAGGCAAACAGGGCCAAGGAGTCCCTGCTCCTGACCCTGGAACGAAGGAATTCCGTGTTGGCAGCAAATGAGGGAAAGGGGCTCTGGTGGCTGATAGGTACTGGCTCCCCAGGAGTGGCTTCTGAAAGGTCCAACATGGGAAAGGTTATTTCAGGCAGAGGCAGAGCCCCACAGCTCATCAGCAGTGGAGATCATGTGCCACTCTGGCTGGAAAGGATTCCCAAACACACAGTGGGATGTCATCCTTGTCTCCTATAAAAGCCCAGGTGTGGCACTTGCCAGTGCTCAAGAGGAACAAGATGCTGTCAGAGGTGGCACAGAGTCTCTGAGAATGGGGGACAAAGCCCCCACTGTGCCAGGGGAGCCAGCTGCATGTTTTATTCCCTCCTTCCCAGCCCTGATGGACCCAGTTGGGTAAGTCTGGCACTTTGGAGCAGCCTGGACAGCCAGGAATGCAGTCTGAAGGAATCCTAAGGGCATTCTCAGGTGTTAGTGGCACGAGGCAGGAGAGATTAAGTGGAACTGTAGCAAGTTCTCCAGCTGTAAGCCAATAAAGAGGGCAGGAATCAGAGATTCCTGAAAAGGAAAGAGAGAACCCTGAACAAACCCAACGTCCTTTGTACATGTCCTTAAAGGGTTTATCTGCCCAACAAACTAGGAATAAGAGTTTCAACATTTCCAGCCACAACTGTGTTTTCTGCGCTTACTAACACAGTTTTCCAGGGACCTCTGGTCTCCCAGCTGAGCCACACTCGTGGCATTAGGCTTCCTTTGCACGTGCCATGTGGATCACTGGGGAATTCCAGGCCCAGCCAAGGCAATGTCACAGGATCCCCCACTCAGGGAATGCTGTTACTCCCAAGCAGAGAAGCAGCAGATGACAGAGGGCTCACTGAGGAGTGGAAGTTCTGTACCCTCCCCTGATCCCTTCTCCAAGGTCAGAGCAGCTCCAGGGCTTCTTCCCTTTGAATTAGGGAGCAGCAGGGGGAGGAACAGAGAGCATCAATCTTGCTCAGAGGTGCTGTTCTCCTAGCCTCTGGAATCCTGACAGCACTGCAGGAAGGCCCTGGAGGGAGGTCACAGTGAGAGGTGGGATGAGCTTTGCCAAGGTACTGCCAAGGGCAGGTGAGATCAGTAACAGCTACTGGATCCAGTGGCCTGTCTGATATTTAGCAGAGTTATCACAGCTCTGTGATCCCAGGGTGCTTCCAGCCAGAAGCAGGGCTTCCCAGAAAGGCTGCTCCTGTCCTGCCTTCCCTCAGACCTGGACAGTCAACAGCTTTCTCTGCCTCACCAACAAACCTGAAGTAAGAATCCTGTCACAGCTTTACTCACATGTCACTCAAGGGCAGCTTTCCCCTAAGGAATAAACCCCTAAAATAATCAAATAATAAATAAACCAGTAATAATTAAGACCCAACCAAACACAAGCAGCATGAAGAGCAGCGCCCAAGTCCTGTGAGGCCACACAGTGCCACAACATCAAGGGCCAAGGTCCTGCTTGCACAAAGGTGGTCCCCAAAGCTGCAGCTCCCTTCCTTTTGCCCAGCCCAGTCTCCTTATCTTCCATTTCCCAGTGCCTGCTCTGTGGGAGCCTCTGTCCCCACATGAGCTGATGGAGCAACAGGATGGAGCAGCAGCCCTGCCCACAGCTCCCCTATGGGAGTGGGCGGGAGTGGCAGCGCTCACAGCTGTGCTTCTTTATTCCAACCACCCTTCCACTCTCCTGCGAGGCCATCATCCAGAGCACACCCATCCTACATCCCTCACCTTCACCACTGGGCATCCCACCATCTGCTACAACAGCTTTGATAGGCAAAAATTTCCCTTTTTTTTCCTTTAGTGGAGAGTCTTCCTTGTCTCCCTGTCCTACCTACCCAGCAGGCTCTACCTGTCCCAGCATCACCCTTCCGATATTTTAGGAGACAAGGTCTGCAGACACTCATTTAAGCCACGGTGTTAATCCCCCCTGACTGGATGGTTCCCGATTTCTAGGGAATTACTGTGCACCCTCAACCTCAGCTTACTCCTGGCACGCACATAATGGCTAAGAAATCTGTCCCAGCGCCGTTCCGTGCTAATGACACTTTGCCATGTGTAATGCTGTCCTCTAGTGAAGCGCCGTGACACTGCACAGCAGGGTGAACTCCCGGATCCCCAGTGCCCGCTCCCTCCCGCTGCTGCTCTGCCCTCGGGGCCCTGGCATTCCAGGAAGGATTGGCAACACCTTTAAAACCGCAAAGGCCAGTATTTGCCAACCATCTCCGGAGAGCAGAACTGTTGAGTGGGTGTGCAGGGGTGTATTTTGTGTCCTACTTTGAGCCCAAACCACAAAAGCCAAGGATTCCGGACAGCTCCCGATCTGACTCCAGTTTGATCTGCACAAGTCAGAGGGCAGCAGACTACAGCACAGGGAGACAAGCGGCCACAGATGCCACAATACCATAAAAGCAGTGAGATTTTGTACAAAAACGCCCAAAAACTATCTGCTCAGCCACTGGGACATGGTTAGGCCCATAACTGAGTGTTCTCTGGGCAGGAGTACGTTGTGTTTACAGCACTGGTGGTTCTGTGCCTGTTTCCCAATGGTGCAGTGAGTGCTGCAAGCAGGACCATGGGCTCCTGAAACATCCCACAGGCTCCTGCAGTGCCAGGCACTGCTGCCCAGGGCTGGCTGATCCAGGGCACTCCTGACTGCCAGACAAAGAACGAGCCTGGCCAGGGCAGGCAGAGGTTGAGGAGCAGCAGCACACGGACAATGTGCCCAGCCCATGGTACCTCACAGCGATGGAGCAGCAAGAACAGGAAGGGACATGTACTACACCTGGAGGCAGACACAGCTCAATCCCCACTGCACTCATCTCCAGTAAAAACACTGCACAGGAAATTGGGACACTGGAGGAGGAAGGTCCATTTTGCTCTTGAGCCCATCAGCACTTCTTTCCTACTCCCACAGCCCCACTTGCTCCCCCTGGCTCTGCCTACTCAGCTCCCAGAGCTGAACTGGGCAGCCTTGGTCTTCCCTGGCCCTTCCACAAACCTCAGTTCTCCACGTGCCAGACCAAAAATCTGCTTTTGTAATATCCAGCCTCAACCTACAGCACTCCCACCCTCCCTGAACAGGCCTTGGCACACCATATTCCAAACACTCCTGGAGGTGAGATGTGCTTGTGAAGCAGTGACGTGTTGGAGTTTAGTGCCATGGGAAAGAATGCACGGCCTCCATTGGTTTGACTGAACAGTGTGACATCAGAGATTCCAAAGGTTTTCAGGCAAAGGACCACTCTGAGCCCTCATTAAACTCCCCCTGGATCACACCCTGTGTCCAGGGAAGGTGACTGAGGCCAGTGATGAGGAGGTGAATACATCTGTGCCATTGCTCCTTCCACTGCTGTTCTCCAGGAGCCTCATCAGGGAACATCCTTCTCTGACCTTGTTTACTGTTGTTCGTGCATTTTCCACAGCTTCTCCAGACATGATGAGTAATCAGAGTCAAGGGGAACTGCCCCATCCCTGGAAGTGTCCAAAGCCAGGTTGGACGGGACTTGGAGCAACCTGGGCTAGTGAAAGGCGTCCCTGCCCATGGCAGGGGATGGGACTGGATGGACTTTAAGGTCCCTTCCAAACCAAGCCATCCCAGGTTTCCATGATTTTAAATCATCTGCTGTCTTTATAGAGGTCAAAATTAGATCTTGGAAATTATTTTCTTTATTCCAGCACATTATGAAGCCAGGAACAAACAGCACAAAACACACAAGCTGAGTCCAGATTCTTAGAAAGGAGGTCCCTAGGAAACATTTAATATTGGATGCAATTCTTAATATACTCTTGTTTTTGAGCAGTCAGATAAAGATGGGAACAGAAACAAACAGCATGTGGAAGGGGAATTGCTAAAGGAGGACAAGGAAGGTCATTCTGCAGCAGTCAGGTGTATCAGAGGTCCCACACAGTGAGGCGTGTTCCCAAAAAGTAAGGCAGCTTCCCTGCTCGAAAGCCCAGCTCTGACCCATATGAGCACTCGGGGCACACAGGGCTGGGGAGCAGGGAAGGTTTGATTTCATTCTGCACCATTTCTGGTCTCTTGGATTGCAGGAAAGGAGCAGCTGGTCCCAGGCTCCCAGCACCCCACAGTGTTTTCCAGCTGACAACAATACACATGCCCCGGCCCCCAGAACACTGAGGAATAATCCTGTTCCATAAGCACATCCGTGTGAACACCTCTGCTGGAAATGCACACCTCCAGAGGAGTGGGGGGTTACCAAAGCACTGGATCTGGAAGAAACACCTCCCTGAGCAGTGGCTGTAAGACAAGCTTTAGCTGAAGACAAGTGGGGCTCCTTGTTAACACTATGTTGAACTCATTGCCAACAGATCTGCCCCCTGTTCACAGGTGGACAGTGAACTTGCTGCTGAGATTTTCCACATTTTTTGCTCTTGGGAGCATCAGAACAGCCTCCCTCCTGGGACTTTCCAGCTCCATTTCCATCTGAGTCTGAACCAGGATGGTAGAAGTGTGAAAACAGGAAGATGTAACAACTCAGAATCAGCTCCAGCAGAATAGGGAGAGATTTCAGGCTGATATTTTAATTGAGGCAAATAACCCTGCCTTGCCCAGAGTTATCCAGACGAATCCAGGTCATTTTCCTTATTCAGCTCCCAAAGCCAGGCACACAGAAATGGAGGGAGTCAGGCACTAACAGCCACTTCTGAGGTTTTCTCTGCAAGGAGAAACTGCCCCATGCTCAGGACACATTATCACATTCAAAGGCCAATTGTTTCAGATAAGGTGAATTAACATGTCCTCCTCAAACATAAAAGAATCTATTTGATCTTTAAAGCAGTTAAAACTGCACCTTGCCTTAGTGTAACTCAGCAAGGACACAACTTAAGCTAAGTCAAGCTGACTTTGAAGAATGAACAAGCTGTTTGGCATAACAAGAGTCTGGCTGCACAGGTGACCACCAGAGACCCTCGATGGAGCCCCTCAGAGACCTTACAAGGATTTGTGTACAATCAGTGCTGGGAAGTGTCCTGGATATGTAACAGGAATGCAGGGAGAGAAACTGAACAATCCTGTAGCGCTGCCATATCAGCTACACTTGGGGAGCTGATTGCCAGGGCAGGCAATGTGCTGTGACCATGCAGGGCATCAAAATCAAGGAATGCCTGGCTCCTAAAACTCACCAGTTGAGTCTT